TTTGTTGGGGGGGGGGGGGGGCTGGCAGGAGACACGTGTTCTATCAAAGTCTGTGACTGCGTTAGAATGTGTGACTGGTCACACATTTTAACGTAATCCCGGCCAGTTTTTCGGCGTGGGATGTGACCGGTCAAACATTTTAACATACTCCCGCCCAGTTTTTTGCCGATGGAGTGTGTTACCGGTCACACATTTTAACGCAATCCCGCCCAGTTTTTTGGCGGTGGACTGTGACCAGTCACACATTTTAACGTAATCCCGCCCACTTTTCCGGTGGTGGAATATGTACCCGGCAAAAGGAGAATTTCAACGATTTCTCAGCTGTTCCAGGGCAGATCGGCATCGCAGACGGTATGGGAAGGAGAACCGATCTGCCTTCGAACAGCTGATCGAGGTCCTGAGATGTTACTTCTATCCGACTCTGGAATGTGAGATTGCAGTCGGATAGAGGTAACATTTCAGGACCGATCAGCTGTTCCATGGCGGATCGGTTCTACTGCGCATGCCGATCTGCCCTGAAACAACTGAGAAAGCGCTGGAATTCTTCTCCTTTTGCCGGTCACATATTCCACCGCCAAAAAACTGGACGGGATTGCATTAAAATGTGTGACCGGTCACACATTCTAACGCAGTCACACGCTTTGATAGAACACTGAGCTCTGTCCGATTGGTTGCAGGGAGGGGCTGGCTGGAGCACAGCTGAGCTCTAGGATTGTATTACAAGAGCCGTTCTGTTATACATTCCACACAGATCAGCTCACTCAGAGGAATCCATGTTCTATCGATAGCTCCAACTCGTCGAAATCTCTTACTACCTAATTTCCGGTGCTCAGAAAGACTGGAGCTCTGTACAGTTGCGGTGCGCATGTGCGTAGAACATTTTCAGAATACTCGTCGAGTTCTCCACCTGCTGAACATTGTTACAATGCAGCTGTACAGAAGCTCCGTCAATCTTTGTGTTTTGCAGGCTAACGCCGTCTGGTCGAAGTCCCCAACTCGCAAGTACCAGGAAGTGAGGTAGTTGGAGATTCCGACGAGTTGGAGCTTTCGATAGAACACCGGTTCACTGACTGCTGTGACTTCTTACCAGCAGCCCTGAGATGGACAATATCTGCCTTGCCTGTCTCTTGTCCTCACTGCAACCCTGCTCGTTCCTGACTATTGTCTGCTGCCTACCTGGACCTCAGCCTGAACCCTGACTGTTCTAGCCTGCCACCTACCTCACCCTAAACCATTGCCGTTCTTGTCTGCCGCCTTCCTGGACCTCAGCCTGAACCATGACTATTCTTGCTTGCCATCAACCTCACCCTGAACCCTGACTGTTCCTGCCTGCCATCAACCTCACCCTGAACCCTGGCCGTTCTTGCCTGCTGCCTTCCCGGACCTCAGCCTGAACCCTGACTGTTCTTGCCTGCCATCTATCTCACCCTGACCGTTGTTGCTTGCTGCCTTCCCGGACCTCAGGCTGAACCCTGACTGTTCTTGCTTGCCGCCAGGGCCGGCCTTAGGGGTGTGCGAGCTGTGTGGCCGCACAGGGCGCCATGGCAACAAGGGCGCCGTGCGACCTGTCAGAACTATTGGGCCGAAATGAACCGATTTCATAGGCCTAAACATGTCATTTTACAGAGGTGTCTATGGGCATACTAGTAGCCATTTTTGTCTATGTGCTATAAGGTGAAAATAAGTTCATTCTTTTCTTGTACAGAGACCTTCACCGAGAAATTAGGAATGTTAGTATAAACATTCTTCATATCGTAAATGGTGGGGGTCTCAGACGCATATCAGTTAAAGGCGGTGCCAGCCTGTGTGGGGCTTGATTGATTACTTTCTTGCCTCCCTACAAGAGATTGTAATTTCTAAAGAGTTTTTCCTTTGTTCAGTGAATAGAAGGCGGGGCTTATTTAAAAGTTCCTTATGAAACATTAATATTCATTGTGGTGATAATATTAGTAACAATGTTATTATATTATATGCGGCATCTATATGCCTACTTAATTGACTGATTTTAAGTAAAATTTTGTACATGTACAATTATATATACAAACTATATTCATTATATATATTGTTTGAGTGTATCCATTGAAATATATTGTTGTGTATTACTAATAATGGGGGTTTTTATATTTAAGTGCAAAGAATTAGGTGGCACATGCCAATGTACCCTGTTTCCCCGAAAATAAGACCTAGTACTATTTTGGGGAATTCTTAAAATATAAGACCTACCCCGAAAATAAGACCTAGTTGTGACCTTTCCCAGGGCCGTTGGTGGCAGAAAGGGAAACTTGAAGAGCCACGGGAGAGAATCTGCGATGCCAGCGCTAGAGGAAGCGAGGCGGCAGCGGAGGGAGCAGAGCCGCATAAGCCGCATGCCTCCTCTATAGCGCCGGCTGCTTTCACAGGCGGAGTGATACCGAATGTACTCCGCCTGTGAGGAATTGATAGTGAAAGCGCGCTTTGCTCATTCTGGCCAGCAATTGGTTGCCAAATTGCTCTTGGAAAGGTACGACGCACCCCTGATTGCCCTGATCAACCTATTCTTACCTTTGCCATTTTGGATTATTTAATTTGGATTTGCATTAATTTTGGATTGTTGTACATTAAAAAAAATAAGACCTACCCAGAAAATAAGACCCTAGTGTGTTTTTTTTGAGCCGAAAAAAATATAAGACAGTGTCTTATTTTCGGGGGAAACACGGGTATATTCTTTTCTTATATGTATGAAAACTTCTGGGTCTAACTCTAAACTAAGTACCTCACTTTCAAGGAATTTAAGGAGGATTGCTAATTCCTTCGAATAGACTGTTTTCCAAGTTGTAAATTGAAGCGCAGACTGGAAGTCTGGCATGGTGTGATTAAGTATTGTCAAAATTTTATATTCATGGTTTTGTCCAAGGGTAGAGATCAGAGGTCATCTCACTGCTTTATCTTTAGAAATTAATGAAATTAAATGTAATGCTCCCAATTTTTACATAGAACAATAGCGCCCCCTGATGGTGATTTGTGAGGGAAAGGTCTGTGACAAAAAGGGTATTTGATATCATGTTTCACGTCGGTAATCACGTGATAGATCAAACCAAGCCCACACCGCAGGGGGGGATATAGAGAGGGGACCAGGAGCCCAAGGGAGATTCGAATTCCATCATCAGAGAGAGTCGAACAAGACAAGGCAGTAAGCAGATACATGCCAAGGGGATAGGTCAGAAGCTGAGGACGGCCGTCCCAGGAAACTGAATTAAAGAGAACCTGACTATCCCTGGTGGCCGAGCATTGACTGCTGACTTCTTCCAAAACAACTAAATTTACATTGCTGGTAAAGTATACTTTCTATCTGTATATTAGGCAATTCATTAGCCACAGATATATATTCGGGTAAACCATTAAGTTCTTGTAGGATCTAGATTGATTTGAGATAATTTGTAACTGCAGTAAAAATTGTGTCTTTCAATCTGGGGGAGATAATTATATACTTTTGTTTCATACACATTTGTATAATCTCCAGGAAACTGATTTCAGTTTCTAGTCGATGGTCTGGTCTGATATATATTGAATTAAACTGGTGGTAATTTTTCTCTACTTTGACTGGTCCGGGCTCATTGCCAGCCCTGTGCATGATGGGATATATATCGCCCCTGCGCTGTGAAAGGTTAGGCCCCGTTCACACATAGCGACATACCTTTTGCAGCGGATCCGCACGGCCGGGATAGCGCGACTTTCGGGGCGACGATCCAGCGACGGTAGCGCGACCTTCCCCGTCGGGCTCCATAGAAAAAAAGTAAAATCGCGCAAAATCCGCCGAAAAAAGGGTCCGGTAGAAGCGACTTGCGACGAGCGACGCGCGACATGGAGTTAAGACAGCTCCATTGAATAACATTGGCCGGCGACTTCTCGCGATATCGCGCGGCAAAAATGCGCGATATCGCGGCGGAAATCGCGCGACAATTCGCTATATGTGAACGGTGCCTTAGAGTTGGTGAATATCTGTGCTGAGAGAAGTCACGTGTCAATTCTGAGCCTTTCGTTTTCTTATTCTGTGTGATACCGAGAAGACACCCGTTACATTTAAAAAGTCGTGTTACCTTGGTTACATTTATCTGTTGAATTAATATCCAGTGGTTACATTTTTATGCATTACTTGTGTTATCATATTGATTGATATTATCTGATCCATATTCTTTGTTTGTCACCAATTATATTTTATTATTATTTTCGCA